CGCCAAGTGAACAGTTAGCAGTGATTAGACCTCAAATTGGATATATATTTTGAAGGTTGGTGTCTTAGGGCTTTATTGCTGCTATGAAATACCATGTCAGAAACTAAGTTGGGGAGGAAAGGGTTTATTTGGTTTATACTTCCAGATCACAATCCATCATTGGAATAAGTTAGGACAGGAAGTCAAGCAGGGTCCAGATATCTTTGTATAGAATAGTTATCTTTGTATAGAATAGGATCTAGTCCAGTTTGTGAAAATCCCCCCCCCTCTTTCAAGAGAGGGTTTAAAATAGAGGGGAACTAGGAGGAAAAAGTGACACTGGACAGAGATGTTCCTAGCGAGTATAGGCTGTTTGTCCTTGGGACCACCTGGATAGGCAAGATGGCAGAGCACCAAAGTCCAGTCCAGAAACGCCACACCCTGGTGTTCAGCGTCATATAGTGTGGTCCTGGAATTTCTGTGTATCTTTTTATTCTTACTCTGTGTGGGCAAAAGGACTAGAATAAACATCCCCCCTTCTTTCTAAAAATTATCTATCAACATTACCAGATAGATTTACTGTGATGTATGATCCAAGGGGCTGGATGTCCACGATGAGGCAGGAGCGCCAGGCAAGGCCTTGTGCTGTGTCATACTGGGCAAACCAGAGGAAGAGGCAAAGCAGAAAGAGAGGCCTCGCCTCGGACCAGCCCTGCTCCCGTAAGTAATCCATCCCCAGGAAGCATTATTTCCTTCAAGAGGGTGGCAGCTCATGAACTAATGATCTCTTAAAGGTCACACTCTCCCGGTACTGTTACACTGGGGGCTGAATTTCATCGAGTGTTGGGAGAGGACAAATGGCGTCCAAGCCACAGCCTCAGGCTTCATGAATACTGATGTTATAGCTGTTGGGCAGCACCAAATACGCTGCTCTCTAGCAAAGGAATATAATGTCACTTAAAAACAGGCTCTCTTGCTTTAACAGTGGTTGGGAGGGTTAGGGAGACAGTTTAGTTGGTGAAGTGCCTGCCATGCAAGCATGAGGCCCTGAGTTGGGTTCTCAGCACTTATGTAAGTGCTGGGCAGGGTGAGGCTTGCCCATAGCTCCAGGGTGTGTGGTGAGTTAAGAAGACCTGGAGTTCAATGGCCAACTAGCCTAGCCAAGCTAATGACCTGCAGGCTCAGTGAAAGACTGTCTCAAAAAAAGGGGGGGGCACAAAGTTGGGAGGAGCTGGGAAAGAATATGAGCCAAATACATAGTGTGCATATATTAAATTCTCAATAAAAATTCATAAAATACATAAAATGAGGAGAAACAGTTAAGGACATCTGATACGGACCTCTAGTCTCCACATGCATTCACACAAAAACAGAAACACACCACATACACACAGACACACAGGCAGTTGAGGCGGCTGACATGTATTGTATAACACACACAGGCATTTGAGACAATTGATGTGTATTTTATAACAATGGCAACTACAACATATACAGGATGTTGGGATGATTGGCGTGTATTTCATAACCACACACACACACACACATACACACACACACACACACACACACACACACACATACACACACACAGAGGCAGCCTCAACATATAATACAATTGACATGCATTTTATAGCAATATAAAGTTCTTTTTGCCCATACATAAATCTTGAGGACTTTTTAATGAACAATTGTTCAGTGTTTTCCTCTTAATGAAGTCTTTTTGCATTTCCCTTGGAGTTTTCTTTGTGTCTAATTTTAATGCCACATATACACACATTTTATGTCCATTTTCTCATGCTCTAGATTGTAATTCTGTGTATGTGTGTCACTGGTTAGACTTTAAGTACCCTGAGGTTAGAGACAGGCCCATCTTACTTCCAGGACGATGCCTGGTGTGACGTATGAAAGGTGTGGATAGAGAGTGCTCTGTGCATGTTAAGTAGTGCAGAGCCTACCTCCAGAATCCTAAGATTGGAATAGTGCACACCGTAGCAAGTTTCTGCATCCTTTTTCTTCTTGGGGATGAGCAGCAGCCTGGTATGTTCAGTGTGACCAGACACGCACTATGTTTGATTGCTTGTTGATAACTAGTGGTGACAAGTGCCGTCAGACTGGCTGCTGTTGTTTCAAGGTCATATCTTTCCCTTGGTTGAGCATAAGTGGATTTTGCACTGAGGATGTTGGCTTGGGAAACCCGGTAGATTGTGTTTACTATTTACGTTCTGGAGCATTTATCATTGTCTGGCCTCCGTCACCTCTGCCTTCCATTTTGATAAAATGAGATTTGTGGCTGGCAAGCTCTGGATGGATGCTTAGCATATCAGATGTGCAGGGAGTTGATTGAATGGCCTTTGATTGAGTCTTTGCTTTTCTTTGCTTTGTGCAGAATTGTAATTTCTATCTCATCTCAGGACTTTATTATGCTTTTTTACATAAAAATTTAATCATTCTCATGGGTAGAGGTTAAATTGTACAGATTATTATTAATGTGCTTTGTTTGATACACCAAGCATTCCTTCCTATCCCGTTGAGATAAAAGCTTCCTTTCTGTTTTCTTTACATGGCCTTTCCAGTGTTGAAAACAGAAACAGCTTTTCTGTAGTCATAAAACCAGAAGATAGCACAGTGTACACACAGACACTGGGCATTATGGTGCACCATCAATATAGGCCACTTTTATGTTCTTGCCTACTAGCCAAAAATAAACATTAGAAAGCAGTTTATTACCCAAAATGCCTTGAACTGAAGAGTCTATAAAATTTGATACTTTAATCATTTTAGATAATAAAGTTTAGAAGTGTTGCTCTCATTTGGGTCCTTCCTGGTTTCAGTCTCCCTTCCCATCCCCCTATTCTTCCTTTGGCATTCTCTGTGTCCAAGGGTGTGGGGGGGAGGAAGGGAGAGAGAGAGAGACAGAGAGAGAGGGAGGGAGGGAGGGAGAGATGCAAGGCCTAAAAAATTAAAATACAGTATTTGGAGTGTTTTGACCTCTGGCAAAGATGAGGAGAACCTCTAAGGACCTATCTGCCTCCAGTTCTTGCTCTTATGAGTTTTTATGGATAGGTCACCAGCCATAAATGACATCTTGAGCCCAGCTTGGTGGTACTCAGAGAGAAGAGAGCCACTGACCCACAGAACTATGATGTAATAAATGGATGTTGTTTTAAGTCTCACTTTTTTTTTTGACAGTTTGTTATGTAGCAATAGAAGCCTAAGCAACTGTTGTGTTTCTTTAGTTTTCCCTCTGGAAAAAAAATGGGCATATTTAATTTTAAAAACTGATTTATTAACTCCCCATGTGTGTACTTGCAAGCATGAATATGCTATGTGTGTGTGGGTACAGTCATGTGCCATGTTTCGTGTATCAACCTCAGCCTTGCACAGCAAGCACTGTCGCCCTTCGAGCCAACGCCTCAGCCTCAAGGCTTTTTACTCAACACCGAAGGAAAGAAATAGTCCATCAACTTTATGTTTTCATTTCATGGGAAGGATCCTTAGCTTTCTATATGAAGGAGAGTGAGTCTGTTTTGTGTCCTAGCACAGCAGCAGTGGGCTGGTTTTGCTCTACACCATGAGCCAGAATTTCCCAGTGAACCGGAGTTTCAGCACCGAGACAGCCTCTTCCATCATTGTGGGCTCCCCAGAAGCCCCCCATCCTCCAAAACACTCTTCTGCTTTAAAGGTGACTCTAGGCCTAGCTGTGTGTCTGCAAGGCCAGATAGTGAACACTGTGTTAAGTTCACCAGTGTTTATTGGTTTATTGGTTGTGTCTATTGATGACTTTGTAACATCTTTGGAATGTATCATCTCACTGCCTTGAGAGACAGTGGCAAATGGCGCAGATGAATTGAGGCTGGAGCTGCAGTGACGGGATTAACTGGGGCACTAGGTATGAAAGCTTATCTTATGTAATGTGAAGTAGAAGGTAAGGGGATTGCATAACATATCGGAACCACTGTTTATAATAAGGGTTCACCCAAGGCAAGGGGAGGGAACACTGGTTGGTAGGTTCTCCAGGACTTTTCTTGTAGCCCACGAATCTCCCCCACCCCCACCCCCGTGTGTGTGCTCGCTCAGTCTTCCATATTTGTCTATGGTAAATGATGGAGAGGCTTCATCTCTTTACCCCCATGGGCCCGTCAGTGCCTTCCATGTAGCCCTTCTGCTTTCTTTGGGCTTCTGTGGCTTCTCCTTTCTCCTCTTGCAGATGGAGAGCTGAGGCTGGAGACTTGCTTCTTTTGGTGATTATTGTTTCACAGAAAAAAAGGAAAGACCTTCTGCAGAGCCAAGAATTCTCCTATTCCTGTCTGGGATTTTATTCATTAAAGATTACTTTGAATTAATAAGTTAATACCTTAGATGGGCTAAAGCCAGTTCCCAAGAGTGAGCTGCACACCTTGATAACAATCATGTGTGCATAGCTGAGTGTGATCTGGAAGATAAAGACTTTGTGTGAGTTATTCTGTTTACTCCACATAGAAACGCTGTGGGGATGGATAGTCAGAGGTTTTTCAGTTCTTTGTGTCCTGTTGCGTGGTGATGGCAGGGAGATCCAGGAGGAAATCCTTGTGGATCTGTTCAGGTCGTCAGCTGAGCTGAACTCTCCTCATGGATCCTGAATGACGGTTGGAGTTAAATTGATGGCTTTCTTCCTAATACCTAGTAGCGACTGTTACAGGGCATGGAACAGCTAATGAAGAGGTAGCCGCTGCCTTCCAAGTAATACGGCTCATTCATAAATGTCTGGCTGTTACCCACCCGACTGCAAGTACTGTCCAGCTGAGAAGCATTTACTGCCCTGTCTCTCCAGGCACCAGCAGCGAATGCTTTCCTTGTTCCTTAATGTTCTAGCCACAGAGTGCTCCTTAGTGTGTTTTTGGCTGTGACACAATGCATAGTTAAATGTTTACATGTCACCAACTATTTAAATGCCATTTGAGTAATACTTGAGAAATATTATTGATGCAAAGGCCAATGAAAAGTGTCTAACGGTTCCGATTCCCCTTTCTGTCTCACAGTATTGGTTGGATCCCGCAAAGACTCTTGCAGAGCACAAGGAACTGATCAACAGTAGGTATTTGATTTTAATTTTGTGAGAGCGTGGCGTGAGCATGGTGAACTGTCTGTGATTAGTGCTGGTGAGGGAACAGCGGGACCAGAGAGCAGAGCTCTGGACTGTGTGGTGTGAGGCTCTCGGCAGACTGGGGCGAGCTTAATTTAATCAGATACTCCGTCAGTCTCATTACCGCAGCGATGTCCTAGGGGTGTACCCTCTCCTGGTTTTTATCTGTGACTTTTCTGTATGTTTGTTTTTAAAACCTGTCCTTAAAAAGGGGGAAGGCAGAGAGGAAAGTGTTTGTTTCTGAGTTATGGAGTGTTTTGTTATCCATGCTGCAGGGGACACCCGTGACCTATAAAGTTTTCATGACTTCAGTCTGAGAGATCATTCCTTCTCAGGAGTTACCTTTTGGAATGATCAATATGAATTAATTGGGAAAGTTGTTGTAATTAAGTACATATTCTTTAATCTTAATATCCGCACCCAAGGTTTTATTCATAAACACATGCATAGACTTAAGCGTGAAAAAGAATAATCCTTTAACAAATTTTTGTGGAAAAATTAGGGAAAGTTATAAATTTGAAACATTTTGTGTGTAATTCACCGACATTACATAATTCACGTTGTTGTAACTGTTAACAGCCACATAATTTTCATTATCCCAGACTGAACTATGTGGCTAACAAAGCATTGTGCTTAAACTGTGAGTGACTGCCACTCAGAACCTAGTGGGCCCCTCTGCCTTTATGCCTATCCCTCCTAGGCCTGTGGGCCCTTTCTCTGTGGTAATATCAGTTGTGTGAACTTCCATGGATTCCAGCACAAGAATGCAGCCACGCCTCAGAAAGGAACTAGAAACCCAGAACTGCAGGACCCTCAGGAGCAAGTATGGACTCTCTGAACATCAGCATCGATGTTACATTTCTGGTTTTCTACCTCAATCATTTGCATTTATAGCTCTGGCTCATTTGAACCAGTTAAAAACAATAGCCATCAGAAACTTAGAAAATTTCAGGAGTAATTACTTTTTAAAATAAACTTGTAGGTTTCTCATCTAAGGAAAAACTGTAAACTTCTTAATGGAACACAGTGCTTCATGTCTTTAATTCCAGGACTGTAGGGGCTGAGGTGTGGGGGCACAAGCTGAGGCCAACTTGTGCTACACAGTGATTCCAGGCCAGCTTAGGCTACATAGTAAGTTCTTGTTTCAAAAAGAAGCAGGCAGACACAGGGGCTAGAGAGATGTCTCAGTAAATAGAGCACTGGCTGCTCTTCCAGAGGACCTAAGTTTGATTTCCAGTACCTACATGATAGTGCATAACCTGTACACCCCAGTTCCAGAGGATCCAATGTTGTCTTCTAGGGCTATAGATTTCTCTACCGAGTGTTCCAGATGAGAGTTTGCTCCAAAAGTCTGTTTTCCTAGACTGTGCACACACAGTACCAAATAGTAGACATGGGCAGGCTTGCTGCTCATCCCTGTGGTTTCAGGCAAGCTGCTTCACTAGACAGAGCTTCCTCTGATTGTGGTGGTTTCCAGGCCATGGCTGAGAATGAAATATTCATGAACCTCTGTTGTTGTTTGAGACAGGCTCTCACTGTATATATCTGCCTGACTTGGAACTCACTGTGTACCAGACTGGTCTTGAACTCACAGAGATCCACGCATCTCTGCCTCGTGAGTGCTGCTATTAAAGGCCTGTGCCGACATTGGGCAATACGAAGTGACACAAGCCCCTCCACAGGCCAGTGGAAAAGGCCAGAGCCCTCAAAGACAATTAACTCAAGCTGAGTGTTTTTCATTGTGCATTTTTCAAGTTTCTGCTTAGCTGCTCATGACTGGATACAGATGAGATGTCTGTGCTGGGTGAATAGGGTCATCTGTCATGTTCCACACAATGAAAGGAGCTCTGGAGTCTATAGAATGTCTCTTCCCTTTATCCACCTCTTGGCGGCATGCTAGCTGCCCTGCCCCCCTGGGCGCCGAGACCTGCCCCTGGCCTGCGGGCACCGGCACACCCATCTGCTCAGCTTGACTGATACAGACCATCAGCCATCTCTGGACTTCCTGGCTCTTCTAAATATTTAATAGTCTCACCTCCCTCTTGTCTTTGTTCAGGGGGAGTAGTGTGTTTGTCAGAAATACAAGCGGGGATTGAATATACATAAAAACCAGATATATGGAATACCGATATGAAAGGAGAGTAAAAGTCTTACAATGTAAATTTTTAAAGCATTAAGTGTAAGAAGTAACTCATGTAGGAAGGCAGGGATGAAGGGGGGAGGTGCGGATGGGCCTGCTCTTGATGTCCTGTGTATTCAGTTAGTATAGCTTTGGAAGAGAGTACAAACCATGTGTGAATATGTGATAATAGCCAATAACGTGGTTTGTGTATTATAAATTCATTTTATTTTTATTGCTTGATTTTCCCCCCACAGCTTGTAAGTTATGACTTCATTTATTTAACTAAAAATGAAAGGAGACTAGAGTTTCTTTGAATCTGCTGTGTGCTTTCACTAGGCACATGGCTCATGCTTTCTGTTTGTGGGGCAGAGCCTTGGTGGAAACAATCAGTTGCAACACTGGCTGACAATCAATTGGAATACCAAGTGAAAAGTTCTTTTTAAAGCAGAGGGTATGGCAGTTGGGTGGCAGAGACAGGAGGATCAGGACTTCACACCAACCTCAGCTGTATGGGAGGTTTCAGGCCAGCATGAGCTGCATGAGATCCTGTCTTAAAAAAAAAGCATATTAGAGCTATTAATAATTACTGCCAGCTTGGAAGTTCACAGCTTTGAAAACAGTGCAGACTACATTCATTCACTCTGAGTAAGAAATATTTCTAGGAACAGTGTACTATAATATAACCATACCCAAGGGACCCTCCTTATAAAGAACAGTGTGTGTATTTATATTTACCTAGGAAGATGCAATTCCAGGCTTTGTTTTTGAATTTTTAAATTTGTTTTTGTTGTCTTCTGTGTGTGGTAAATAAATGAAAAAAATCTTTTTTGAGCCAGGCAGTGGTGGCGCACACCTTTAATCCCAGCGCTTGGGAGGCAGAGGCAGGTGGATTTCTGAGTTCGAGGCCAGCCTGGTCTACAGAGTGAGTTCCAGGACAGCCAGGGCTACACAGAGAAACCCTGTCTCGAAAAACCTAAAAAAAAAAAAAAAGACTTTTTGCATATGTGAGACTATGTTTTTTGATTTAGGGTACTTTGAGGGGCTGGGAAAATGGCTCAGTGGTTAATAGCACTGGCTGCTCTCTAAGAGGACCTGGCTTTTATTCCTGGCACCCATACGATAGTTCCCAGCAATCTATACATTCAGTTGCAGGGATCTAACTCCTTCTTCTGACCTCTGAGGTAACAGACACACACTTGGTGTGCATACATACATGCAGGCAAACACTCACACACTTAAAGTGAAGTAAATGAATCTAATCAAAAAATTAAAATAGTTTAAGAATGCACCAGATATGTCTCATAGCCTCTCTGATAATTATTTTGCTTAAGAAATATATATATATAATTTAGAAAGTTCTAGCTAAGTGATTTGCAGAGTATTGCTTTTCAGCCATTGCCACAGTTAAGGCCTTCTTGTGTGTTTTTCCTGGGACAAACAGCATATATTAACTTGTTTTTCCCCTATGAGATGTCAGGGTTTTGTACTCATGACTGTAGACTGACACCCTCTCCACACCAGCATGTACAGATCTCTGTCTGTTTGAATGTCCTGGGGCTGGTCCATTGTCCTATGCCTGTGGCTCACTGACATGGTCCCCTCTGCTGCTCTTCACCTAGAAAAACTTTATAAATATATATATATATATATATATATATATATATAGTTGAAGTGATAAGTGGATGGCTTTTTAAAATAATTTCTCAACGTGCTTTTTTGATTATGAAAACAATTTTTCCTTCCTCCCACCTTCCCTCATTCATGAGTAATTCAAAATATAGATTGATAGAAATTGTGTATAGACTATTCAACCAGCTATAAGAACCTGTGACATTGTGGTATGTTTGGCCATAAGTGTTTTCTGTGTTTATGTGTGAACATGCACTTGCTTTCAGTAGTCGTGAGCCATACCTTTCCCATTTTGTATTCTTATATCTTTAGAAATATTTTATAGATGTAATTGTGCATGTGTGTATGTGTGTGGACACGCATTCTCTGTGTGTATATGTATGTGTGTGTGCCTATGTGCAGAGACTAGAAGAGGGTGCTTTCTTCCCTCGAGGCATGGTCCTTTATGGGGCCAGGAGCTAGACTGACAGTCAGAACCCCTCCAACCCCCATCTCAGCCCCACACAGTGCTGGGGCGACAGGCACAGTTGCAGCTATATTCAGCTTTTTATACTGATGTTGGGATCTGAATTCAGATCCTCTTGTTTATGTAGCAAGCACTCTTATCCACTGAGCCATTTCCCTATCCCCTAATTTTGTCCCCTCCCCAAGTAAAGAACCTTCCATTTTAGCAGTTTAAATTTAAAATCATCAGTAGTTTTTAAGAGTATATATAAGCTAGGCATGGTGGTGCATAAGGGTAGTTTAATGCCGACAATGGGGACACAGGGGAAAGTGGATCTCTGTGAGTTCATGGCCAGCCTGGTCTACATAGCAAGTCTTAGACAGGCCAGCCATAACTACATAGAGATGCTGACACACGCACACACACACACACACACACACACACACACACACGTATGTACGTCAGTGAATACATAGTATACCTAGAGGTAAATTGTAATGCTAATATTATTTGATATGAGAGTGTAAAGCTTAAAATACAATTTGTATGCAGATGAACTGTCAACTGCTTGAAATAGATGGTTTTCATATTTAATGCCGTCTCCATATGTGAATATAATTAATTGTTACATATTACAATGCAACTTTGAAGATGATATGAAGTATAAATATTTTTTGCTTTTTTTTTTAAAGCTGGACCTCCATATACTTTGTATTTTGGTATTAAATTCTATGCTGAAGATCCATGTAAACTCAAAGAAGAAATAACCAGGTATAGTAAGGACTTTATCTTTGAATAATGTGCTGTATGAAAGACTGTATTAAAAGTGGATTAAAGAAGTTGGGGTGAAACACTTGCATGTGTGTCGAGCCATGTCCTGCCATACATCTGCTGTGAGGATTAAATTTTAGCCTTGCACGAGGTAGCTCGGGGTCCACGATAGATGTGTTTGGAAAATGACAGGAGCCCTGGTGACGTGGTGATAGATTTTGCATCTCTGTGATGAGATATTCTTTGTCATTGTTCAGCCTTCAGCCTTTGTGTTTGGGGAAGAGCAGTCATTTGAACTGCAAACAGTGGGTGTTTTGATGCTAGTTTTGTGTTTATAAATATATATTAAGAAAGCCAGTTACTTTAATTAGTTGTAGATGAAATATCAGCTGTTTAAATATTTCATTTATCTCTGCAGGAAATGAAAAGATAGTCACTTTTACAATTAACAGGGGAAATAAAAGATCAGTATTATAGTGTATTATTTTGTCTTTATTACCAAAAAAAAATTCAGTAAAGAGAGATTTTTCTCATTGATATTGGTTAGATAGATCACCAGAACAGTCTACAGCAGTGTTTGAAAGCGCCTCTGCAGAGGTCATAGGTTCCTGATGACCGTGACCAGTGAACTGGCCATGAGAGCAGAAGCATTTGTCATAACTCAAATGGTTAACTTTCCAGTGAACTGTATTTATGGACGGAAGTCAAGCTTCATACATTATGGGAAAAACTAGAAATCAGATCATCAAAAGCAGCCTGTGGGTTTTCCCCTTTCTATTCCATCCTTTTATATGTGCATTTGCATATGTGTGGGGCTGTACACATGCAGAGGTCAGAGGTCAGGTATCTTTTATAATCACTCTTCTTCATTTTTGAGACAAGGTCTTTTATTATTTGGCTAGACTGGCTGCTTAGCAAGCTGCAGGGAAATGTCTGCCTCTGTGACCCAGAGGTGGGTTTGTAGGCGTGTGACACGGGTGCTAGGGATCTGAACCCGTGCCCTCATGCTTGCTCAGCAGGCAGGGCATTGACCTGGCCATTTCCCCAGCTCCTTTTGCACTCTGCTTTTCTGCTCAGAGTTTCTTTCATCTTTACTTTGGACTCATTGGGCTTTCCCATGTCACTCTGATCTGCCACACGTAAGCCTCGTCCCCAGAGCCATGTCATGTCTGCCTCCATTTAACCTGCTTTCGTTTGCTTCTGAGCACTCTGAAAAGCCAGTGTGGGCTTCCCATCATGTACTTTTCTGCAAAAAGGGAGTTGTTCTGAGAGGAGAGGTATTTGTATTAGAGCTTTGCAGGGGTGAGGTGGGGTGGGAGCAGGGCAGAAACCAAGTCTAAGAGTAAAAATATAATACCTGTAACTCATTAGAGAATGACAAAGGGACATTTTGTTTAAAGGTAGAGAAAGTCCATCATTTTGATGGATTCTGCCTCAGTATCTGTCTCAAAAAACTATTGTAAGCATTGTGTTAGGGTGATTGTGTGTTTGAGTGCTAAGTACTTAGTCAATGTGAATTCTTAGTAGTTCACCCTGTGTTTGTCCTGACAGTACAGTGAAGTTGCTCTTAAATAGAGTTAGCTTCCAAAAAAGTTTGTGCTAAGGAGGAAAAAGATCAAGGGTTTATAATCCATTTCTTTACCTGTGTTTAACTTGTATTAAGAGGGAACAGAAGATAACCTTCAGAATCAACTAATGCTGATGTCCCAGAGTGCTGTAAGGACAGCCATTTTCCTGTCAGGTATCACACCAGATTGTTCAAGAACCAGATGACATGATTAGCTCATAGGATGTGACTGTAAACGTACTTGTATAGGTAAGCTAAATGCACCTTTAACAATCGATCGCTGTGATACGCTATGTGGAGGATGATACTGTTGACCTGCATGAGTGCATCGCTACACCGACAGGTCCATAGTGCAATAGACGTGGAAAAGTGAACAGATTGCATAGAGTAACTTTAGTGTGTGTGTGTTTGAGTGTGGCGCATAGGTGTTATGGCATATGTATGGAAGTCAGAGGGCGTCTCTTCAGCAGTCAGTCTTCTTTCTTATTCTGAGGCAGGTTGTCTCTTGTTTTGGCTGCTGTCCTGTGATGGACACTGGCCCAGGAGTGTCCATCGTATTTCCCTGTCTCTGGCTCCCATCTTGTGATAGGAATGCTGGAATTGTAGTTGCCTGCTCCCACATCACCTGGTTCTGGAGATGGAACTCAAGTCACCAGGTTTGCTCAGCAAGCGTTTTTACACACTGAGCTATTTCCTAGGCTAAAAGCTAAAACTGAAACTCAAAAGCAAAATTCCCTTATATGCGATTAAAGGAAAACCATTTTTGTGGCTGGTATTTCCAAATTAAGTTTCAGTGCTTTCAAATTTAAGTTCAGCTAGGCATCCTAACACTTGGGAAGCTGAGACAGAAGGATTGCTCTGAGTTCAAGGCCACAAAGCCACAAAGCCACAAAGCCACAAAGCAAGTAAGCAAGCAAACAAAAAAATCCCAAGTAGATTGCTTATCTTGATTCTGTTTTTTTGAGCATTAGTCCAGCCTACTCTGTCACAGTTTTTTGAGTTTTTCATAGTTTTCTATGAAATACAAGATAATGGAAACTTTTGTATGTATAGTCTTCCATCTGACTGGTTGTATAATTTTGAGAAAATTGTGTAACCTTTTTTGTTGTTGTTGTTAATCCTGGTTTCCTGACTACATAACAGAATTACAAGGTTTCTATGTAAATAGATTTTAAAAATTATAATATTTCTTGCTTCGACCTCTATTGCCATTCAGCTAGTTTTTGTCTGATAAATGGAATTTTCTATTTCTACAGAAAGATGACTGGAAGAATGTAGTTACTTAGTGCATGCATAGCACTGACTCCGGTGCTAACTATGTAAGTGCTCAGTAGATCAGCAGGGCAGCAGAGGTGGGGGAAGTGATAGTTAATTTGTATTTTCTTCATTTGTTGCTTCAAGAAATAGACAAAGATCAATGCTGAGCCCCTGAGATAGGTCTTCCAGGTTTACCCATCATTAATCAGAACTGTCTAGGTGTATGAGTGCATATAGCTACGAATCATCCAACCACGGTCTTGTAGCATGCATTTCTAAAATTGGTGTCTTAAGGCTGGATATCCCCACTTGTTCACTCTTCATTCAGTAGCTGTGTGGAGCACTGTGCTCTGTGTGACCATCTGAAGAAACAGATCTGCTTTCCACTGGAAGGAAACATTTTTGTATTTCTATCTGTATAATGAGTTTTATTTGAGCTTTAAGGGAAAAAAAAGGTCATTTTAGTTTCTAAAGTATTTGATAGGATTTTAATGTTAAACTCACCTGTTTTCATTACTTGGCCCTTGAGCTCTGGCAAGAGAGTTGGCCCAAGAAGTATCTTACCATCTACCTGCGCAGCATGGCTTGGAAGGCTAAGGAATTTTTGGTAGGGTATTTAAAAAAAATCGTCTTTCCTCTAAAGGCGCTCACATCTTTGAAAGGTTTGGATGGAAGACCAGGTTAAACATGCAAGCGTTCTGATCAGGGTGGAAAGGAGTATGTTACAGCCATACTGTCAAATATTTGCGGTTGAATGTGTCTATCAGGGATGGTTTCCCTGTGTTCCTAGGTCTCTCACGTGGCACCTGAGAACGGTGTGCCATCAACTCCTGAAGCAGCCGGTGAGGAGGTTTTGCCTCAAGCCTGCACTCAAACTCCAACTTGATATCAGTCTTCTGGGAGTGGGCAGTGTAGCCTCTACCATTTAGATTTCTCTTAGGGCTGTAAGTGGGTAAAGGCATTTATCACAGAGGATTTCTAGATTCCATTTATTTTTCTTGTCTTTGCCTCTCCCGGTGACATCGAGCACCACCACCTTACAGAGGAAGGGAGATCACAGGGCAGCCTGAAGGATGTGAGGATGTGAGGGGACATTAGTGGTAGCTGCTGGATACAGTGTGCTGGTTTGTGTGAATGCATGTGTGGATGTGTGTGTGCATGTGTGTGTGAGGATGGATATATTGGTGCTTCTGTGTGTGTGTGTGTGTGTGTGTGTGTGTGTGAGCACGTGTGTGTATGGATGCATGTATGGATACTTGTGTTTGTATACATGTGTAGATGCATGTGTGTGTGTATGTATTAAAGCATGTTGTGTAGATGCATGTGCATGTGTGGATGCGTTTTTGTGTGTGTGTGTGTGTGTGTGGGCCACAGGTCACTGGGTGTCACTCCTCAGGCACTGTCCACCGTGAATCTGGAGACAAGTGTTCTTATTGGCCTCGACTTCATCAATTAGGCTACGTTTACCCGGGAACTCCAGAAATTTGCCCATATCTGCCTCCTGAAAGCTGGGATTATAAGCACACTACCATATCTGCTTTTAAAATTCAGGTTCTTGGGATCAAACTCTGGTTCTTCTGCTTGTACAATGAGCACTTTATCAACAGAGGATTCCAGCCCACATATAGTCTCCTGACTGAGAGAGTTCTAGGATCCAACTCCTTGGGCTATCATTCTGTTTCTGCTGCTTGACTAGCAGTGAGATCTTGGGCCAGTTATGTCACCTGTAAAATGAACATTACAGCATAACAGTGCTGACATTGTTTTCCTAGGTGATTGTATGTAAAAGCCACAGAAGGTGTTACAGTTTTTACAGTGCTGAAAACACTTGTTGGCCCTGTGATTATGAAAGGTAACCCGGAATGAGCCAAGCTGACACACTGAGCTGAGTCTTCATATGTGGGAAGAGAGATGGAAGTACACTGTTGGTTTTGGCTGGGACACATGCTTTTGGGCCTTGTAGATGACATATAAAATCCAGGCAGGATCCTTGTAATGTCTTCCTCTTGAGAACAGCAGTTGTTGATGGACTTTAATTAAAGATGCTTGGTTTTCTCCTTTGGTCAGGGCCTGAAGCTTCAAGTCTGAGCAGCACCAGAGATTGTTAATCTCCTTTCTCCATTTCTCTTTTAGATATCAGTTTTTCTTACAGGTGAAGCAAGATGCCCTTCAGGGCCGCCTGCCTTGTCCTATCAACATTGCTGCTCAGCTGGGAGCGTATGCCATCCAGGGTGGGTTCCACTCAGGTTCATTTGCTTCAGAAATGCTTGGGGCAAATAGTTGAATTTTTATTTGTACATAAGTTTATTTTTTGAAACTCTTATTAGATACTATCTTGGAAAATAAAATGCAGCCAGTCAGAATTCACATCTTGACCAGTATCCCTTCAAAAGATATAAGAATGGAGCTGGCTCCATTTTTCCTTAAAGGGGGTTGTATATGGTTCTAGTTTCAGGGTTAACCTGATTCCTAAGTAGAAAGCCAAGACCTCTTTCGATTCTCCCCTCTGCCTGAGTTCTGTGACTCGGTAGCCCATGCCCATACCTGTCCTGTCGCAGGACACTGCTGACAGCAAGCCCAGAGTGTCACTATCTGAACTCACTTCCTGAGTCAACATGATGGCTGTGTCAGGTGGCTCTGGGTAATTTGGTTCCTTTGAAGACTCAACCTGGGCATGTTTCAAATGCAGTGTTGGAAAACTGAGATAGATAGCTTGGTCTTTGAGACCCTAGTAAATTAGACGTTGTATAGACTAGATGTTCCAGGCAGAATTTCAACTAGATAAGCTGGGTTGGGGCTTAGAAGGTAGATTATTAGAGGGAGAGGTTAACTGAACTTTCTGGGTTGGTTTGTTTCTCTGTGTTGATGGTCGTCAGACAGACATGCAGCATGGTTGTTTTGAATGTTCTCTCTCTTGGTTTCTTTGTCGGAGAGGATACATGGATCATCTCCAATGTTGCCAGAATACATAACCTCGAACTCAAAATGTGCACATTCATTGTATTTCATAAATACTAATCCGAATTGAAACAGAATGATGATAGACTGTGGGAACACAAAACCTCTTTATTTTCTAAATCCTAGTTTGTTTATGTCACACGTCTTTGGTGAAGTTTTTTCTTTGTTACGTTTTAGTAAAGCTATTTATTAGTTACCTTAGCAGTATCATTTTATTGATAAAAACATTTGAAGAAGAATGTTTAAGCATGATAGAAAAATTCCATTCCTATATTTTTAGAAGCACTTCCCACAAATACCTGTGGTACTTAAGGAAAAAACTATATCATTACCTGTGATACTTAAAGGAAAAACTATATGAATAAAAAGACATTTTGTTTTCCAGCCGAACTGGGAGACCACGACCCATACAAGCATACTGCAGGGTATGTGTCGGAGTACCGGTTTGTTCCTGATCAGAAGGAAGAGCTGGAAGAAGCCATAGAAAGGATCCATAAAACTCTAATGTAAGCGAATTATGTATTGCGTCAGCCCTCATCAGTGTCAGCTAAGACAGCTATAAATATTCCCAGTGATAAACTCACCTGTGCTGTGAGCGCTTGCCTGCTTCTTTTACTACAATAAATGCTCATTGAAACCCCCAGCTATCCAAATAGTATAGAGGAGACATTAAGCCTGGTACCTAAAGTTGACACAGTCTTGATCAATGACTCCTGACCTCTCCGCTCTGCATAATTCCCATAGAGATAACTGGTTTTGTATATGTTTAGGCATTGTGACTTTACATAGGCAGAATCACTGTAAGAGCTGCATTTTGTAGGTTTTCTCATCACTAGTAACCTGTGAACTCTTATAATGTGTAAATACTGCTTCTAACTATATAAAAATAACTAAGCATGCTTTTGGGTATTTGAGATTTGCCCTGTAGTAAGTATAGATGTCTTTAGAATTAGAAACAAAAATCCTATCTAGCAAATCCCATAGCAAATGAGTCTGTGCAAGAAGAAGACACTGGTATGTAGCTTCTGCAGGCATTATGCTAACCCTGATGCACCTTGAGAGTTCAAGTACTCCCCTGGGAAGATTTTCAGTTAATTGCCCAGAGCAATGAAGTTATAATTTAATTATAGTTATTTTGGTTAAATCCTCTGTACTGATTAACTTCACCTTTTTGCTTCTTGTGTAACATTCCCCTTTGAATATACTTGGTTTCAGATCTATTATAGTTAAGAAAAACATGTAGAATCAATCTGCTCAACAAAAATGTTTGCTGACTAGATCTGCCTCAGTAGTTAGCGGCAGAAGTCAATTGCCGAATAGCGATCAGGGGAGCTGACTCTCCATCTTGGATTAGCATGCACTCGAATGCTCTCCTGCCTGGAATAGAATCCTTCATTTTAAGGTTTTTGCTGAAGTGGATGCTAACAAGAGAGAGCTTGTTATACATTATAAAGGGCAGTGTGTTTGGCACAGTCTGCGAATGCTAATTCTACTAGGAGTTTCAAAGTATGACTGTATTTTGAAATTATAGGGTTTTGGATAAAGGCCTTCATATGTGTTTTATGTTCTTGTGTGGCCAGTTGTCTAGGGATAAAGCATGATCAAAGTTTATGAAGAACTTTCTTCTAGGCTTTCATCTAAGTGCACAGTGACTGAAGTGAGGGAACACATCAGGGAGCATGGCTCAATTTTGAGACGTTCTTAGCAGCTTTTATCTTTTGTTAGCCATCACCCCCCCCCACCACACACACACACACACACTCAAGCCTCTCCCCCCGCCCCAATTCATCCTTGGAGAATCCTGGCAGATGCTTAGCCTCATTAAGAGCAAATGGTGTTTTCTGGATATTACTACCAGTGTGAAGGCCTTAGGAAGATTTCTCTACTCAATTATGAAAACGACAAGCACTTTATAGTTTCTGTGTTAGCCACTGTGCTTCTCAACCGCACCTGTGCTCAGGAGCTGTTGACGTGACCCCTGTCGGGTAGTGGGGCCCTTCAGCTCCTTGCCTGATGTGGTGCTGGCTCTAGTTGCTCCTGGTGCATAGCTGCTGCTGCTGCTGCCGCCGCTGCTGCTGCTGTACATAGAGACATCTTGCTCTTTGAGAAGTGGGAGCTTTTTAATTTGAATGCTTATATTCTCAATAATCTCTTTGGGAGCTTTTGAAACTGAGAAAATTTTTTAATACATACTAAGAATTTGGGGATGGACTGTAACGAGCAGAAGTAGGTCTGGTAAGTGAAATTAACTTAATATAAATATTACCTTCTTGTCATCCAGAGGGACAGGTTCTTCCTGAGGTACAGAGTCTTAGCCTTTGCATCAGTACAGAATGTTGCTTGTTTTCCCAGCGAACACTATGGAGTGTCCTTCTCTGTAAGTGGAGTAGCTCTCAGTAAAATACGGTGCTGTGTTTATTCTCGGTGTAGGGGTCAGGCTCCATCCGAAGCTGAGCTGAATTACTTGAGGACTGCCAAATCCCTGGAGATGTATGGCGTTGACCTCCATCCTGTCTATGTGAGTAACATTTAATTAACACAAAATATTTTAAGTGGATGACATTTTTGTTAAAAAGTCAGAGAAACTCCCGGAGGGAAGCCGCAGCCCTCCTGTCTAGCAAGCAGATGATAGTCCTCCTGTGCTTTCAAACTCAAAGCAGCTCTTATGCGGATTAAACCCTAATGAGTTTTGCATAAAAGTCAGTGATTATATTTCCATGTGTAGAAAACAGTTGACTGGGCTTGCAAACACAGTCTCGATAGCAGTTCCAAAGGACTTAGCTAAATGTCAGAACGGTTTAAAAACTAGACTGGAATTGACGACATTAGAAAATGGAAGGACTTTCTAAAAATAAGATTTTTCTTTTTTTTTTTTATTTTTTTTTTATGGTTGAAAAGAATAAGGTTTTTGCCAGGTAAAGTAGGTGTTGGGCAGCATTCCTGGTGTGGTGGTTGGCAGATGGGGTTGAGTGGACAGTGTTCTGTCATCAGGGGAGTGGTTGTGTGGCTAGTACTTGCCAGTTTTCTTCAGTAGCCAGGAAACCTGCCAGCTGTTGTCAGTGAGCGTCCGTCGGATCCTTACCAAGTATCCCAGAGCCAGGTCCTACCCTCTCCAACATTTCTCTTTGAGGACTCGTTCGTGTTTGCACTCCTGCATTTATGTTATAGCATGTCTTTAACTCATTAGTATTTTCTAAAACAAGAAACGGTGCTTCCTACTAATTCAGACAGTCATCAGGATCTTACGGTACAGTTTAGACTGGCCCAAACTTTGCTTGTCTTTACCTGTGGAGTGCTGGGATTCCAGGCACCTGCCATTGTTCCTGGTCCAACTTTTAGAGTTAGAAGCATCCTTGAATATATATATATTCAGTGTGTCAGGGGAAGTTACAGATTGGAGGAGACAGAAGGTGTCTGGTATTAGATGCTGTTCTCGTTGGAGAATGAAATGTTGCCTGCTTTAAGGGTATCTCTGAGGTCTGGGTGGCAGTTCTGAGATCTCAGCACTGTAGTCCCAGGTCGAGGCAGGACTGGCTCACAGTGGAGACTAGCCTGGAAAAGCAGTGAAGGAAGGAAGGACAGAAGGAAGATGGGAATCTTTAAATCTCCATGAAGTAGTTGTCTTCTCCCCGATGGGCATGTCAATCCTGATAGATTTTGGGGTATTTAAAAAATATATACCTCCTAGGAAATTCATAGAGGCTTCTGCAGAATGCTTGTGGCTTCTGTAATTATCTTGATTCATACTCAAGTTTCTCAGCTTGGGAGGGTGGTGGTGAGAGCCTGAGGGAAATGCCCTGCATGTGTTAGGTCTTCCTTCCCTCTGAGGATGCTGACCTGC